TATGGGATGGAGCCTTTAACAGTTATTGCAAAACACATGACAGGGATTTGTGATGTTGCAGAGCTCTGTGTGTGTGCGCTCTTACAAATGGAGGTTTTCTTGATGATGTGTGAACTCTGCAGAAGTTTGACTATAACCCTCCACACAGCGCTCTGCTCACTGTACGGGGATACTTGTCTCATTTTAATACATCTGTGACTTGCATGGCTCTTTCTGTGGCTCCTCAGTGTTTCCTTCTCCTCAGCATTACAGGCTCTGCCCTGTGACATTGGGATAGCAACACTGGAGATGAGAAATACCTGGAGCTGGGCTGTAAACCCTCTGGGTGACGACTCGGGTCGTACCTCTGTAGCAAAGATGTGTGTGTGTGGGGGGGTTTAAATGCGGTTTTGTGCTGGCGTTGGTAAATCTGACAAGGTCTCTGCCTGAGCCTCGGGTGATGTTCAGTTTAAAATCGGCGTCCATGGCATCCTTCCTCTCTTCCTCTGTTCTTCCTCTTTCTCGCTGTTTCTCCTCTGTCAGCCATCCTATAATATGAATATGAGTTCAGATACATCAAAGCTTTTATTCACTGAAGCTGTTGCCCTGTGTAATTCCAGCAATGATGATCTGTTTCCTGCATTGGACACCTGTTTGCTTGCTTTAATTTTGGGCCCTGCTTCCAGCCCTGCTCCTGATTGCCGATCTGATCCTCTCTCTCCCTGTCTGTCTGTGTGCACATCTGTCTGTCCACCCATTCTGTTTGTCTGTCTATCTGTAGGAGCTCGGAGAAAATGATTACGATTCTGGGTTCAGAGTGAGTATGAGAGCCGCTGTGTGCACCAATACACCCAGACACTGTTGGTTTCCAGCACTGACACAGCAGGGATTGCATGAATGCAGAGGTGTTGGGTGGAGCCGGAACAACAAACTGCTCATCAGCTCACGCTTGTTTCAGTGTGTGTGCTGTCCAAAAACAAACGGACATGTGAAATAAAAGGAACGCCTGCAATGGAGAAGAAGAGGGTCAAGAACCAATCAGATTTAGATTTGTTTTTCTGCACTGATAAGTTAAAAAAAGATCATCTGCTGTGGCTGATAATCCCAGCTTATTCCTGCCTGATATATTCAACTTTATTGTGTCTTAGTGGGTACAGCTAGCTGCTCACACGCTCTGTAGGAGTTAGAGAAAATGAAACGTGGTGCCAAAAGTATAAACATGTTTTTGAAACAGGTTCAAGATTCTGCTGCAGGATTTCCCAGGAAATTGTCTAAAACTACTTCAGGAAAATTTGTGCAGAAAGGAATTTATCAGAATGGGGGAAATGACGTGTCTAAATATGAAGGTTGAGTAAAAGAAAATACGAAATTTAACAGAGTAATGTGCATTTTGATGGCCGCATTAAACTGTCCTCAAACCATCAGCACGGAATTTCATGGGTGACGTAAGGAATTGATAACGCTACGTGAACTTGATTACTTTAAACGGCAGTCGCACACAGACCGCGGCGTCTGGATTACATGCAAAGTTCCACTGAAGCTTCACCTGCGTCCCGACTGCACTGATCACTTTTAGTCTGGTTCAGGTTCATGCAAATTGTAAGCCAGACTTTAACAAAAACAAATTCAAAGCAGCACATAACACAGACTGGGGGGGATGTTGGCAGGAAGTCCTACAGCAATGCCAGGAACCAGTTTCATGCACAGAGGACTCGTTAAAGAAGCCAAAACCACAAACACAGCCTGCAAATAGAATAACGGCTTAAAGTAGAAAATACTTCTGAACGGGAGTAAAAATGACTGGACTCAGTGGAGCCCAAACACTGGTACATAAAACGCACAACCTCACAGTACTGAGGTTTATTTTTAGAATATATTAACTGTGTGGGACGGTTCCTGCGACTAACCTCGTCCTCATGTAGAACTTAGCAGCGTCTAACTCGCACTAACACGGTGTTACTTCAGCCTGTTTGCTAACAGCTGTGTGTTTGTGGTACATGTAACTCAGTCACCTGCAGATTTACTGGTTTCTATAGAAGCTCATGTTGCTTTAAAAACCTCTTTAGTTTCAGGAAAGACAGGATGTTACCATTTAGAAAATGTTTGTAATATTAATCCTGCATTTACTGTAAACTTGAGCTTTGGATTATAAAGCATTGGTTTGTGTAGGATTCCTCTCCTTATCCCTCTACTTCCTCCTCTGTCCCAGTTTCTGTCTCGGGTGAGTAGATGGAGGAGAATATAGATGGAGGTGACTCTCAGGCTTCTCTCTCAGGGCTTCTGTCAGTCTACAGTAGCTCTTCTTTTCTGTGATCCGACCAGAGTGTGGAAGGACGGCCTGATCGGGAGGAGGACAGGCCTCGGTAGAGACAGGGAGGTGCCCTCTGGCATGTCTGTGGAAACGCACATTTCTGCCATTGTGTAATTATTGCAGCGCTCAAACCCACGCTGGTGTGATGGCTGTATCCTCCAAAGCCTTTTATACCACCAGGAAGTCCCAGCTTTGTTGCCAAATGATGAATATCCACACGAGCGACGCCTCGATAAGAATCAGATTTTATCACAGAGGCATAGTGTTCAGTGTTCGTCTGTGGGTCTAACTCAGGCTGTCACTGAAGGTTAAACTCGTATCAGTTTGTAGCATGACGTGAAAAACACACTAATATTTAATATTTACCTGATTTGTGCCCGTGTGCCTGCCATCAGTCCCGGTGAGCACTTGTTGGACAGTTTCTCCTTTCTTTCTTCAGCGATGCTCCACTGTCACCTCCACAGAGGAGGACGCACCGCAGCACGTTATTCTAGTATTTAGAGATTGGCTCAGCTCTGATTACAGCTGCAGTTACTTCAGGCTTTCTAAGCAAAACTGAGTATTTGACCCCCAGCATGACAGCTGTGCAGGCAGGTTTGTGGTGCCTGTGTTGCCTCATTTCACGAGCAGCAGGCGGCGCCTCAGATTAGTTTGTGGTTGCAGAGTGAAGCAACTGCTTATTGCAGTGTTGGCACACAGCCTCACAGGGCCTCACACGGCCTCACGGAGCCTCACAGGGCCTCACA